GCTCTTCCTAATTTGCATAATCCGTAATCGGCCCGTGGGCATTACGGCTGCATAATGACCGCTCAGATCTCGCTCTTAGCCAATCAGCGCGCGTTATATCGGCCACAAGCCAAAGCCATATAATAAATGCTATTAATTCATGCAGAATATATTCTGGGTTTTATTGTGTTGGCCAGACAAAATAGATAAAAATTCCTGCAAGGATATGAAGGCAATAATCGTAAAGAGTGCAAATTCTTTATTATCCTCAAAATTATCTGCGTAAGAGATTACAGGAGCATTTCCTTAATCTTTCGGGAATAAATAGCTGATCACCTTTCCAGCTCGATTCTCCTGCCCTTATGTCTATGACACGCGGTGCATTGTCTGCCTTGGTAGTCCGTATTGACAAAGGCATAAAGGAAATATCAGCTTTAAAGTTCACGAAAAGCTGATTTAGAATTGCTAGAAAACAGCAACTTCGTTTACTAATCATACCTCAATATCTTATTGTTTACTCATGTGCCACAATGGTGTGTGAACGATTCACATTTCATTAACATTTGCTTCTCGCATAGCTACATACCTCGTAATATTCAACGTCGGAAAAGCTTGTCGACATCAAAATAACGAAAAGAAGGGCAACAAATAGTACACAGACGAGAGCGGTGACCAAAAATCGCATCTGACTCGCCATAATACAACTTGATGAGAGACCAACCGTTCATTGACACTGAGCTAGTGACGCATGCATGACTAAGACTATTGACTCAAGCTGAACAAGGAAGTTTCATTTCACTAATTATTCATGTACTTCTACTGACAAAAGCATTGTTTTTTTGTAGCAACCAAAACAACACATAGCCTAGTATTTCTTAGAGATATTAAGTCCTTCAGTTTTACGCCTCATAAATACAAGAGAACAATTTGACATGATCAGGGACCTTTCACAACTTTCTTACTCAAGGAAATATGGTCAAGTTGTTTACGTGATGTGCCACTAAACGCAATTAAATAAATAAATATTGCTTTCCTTTTGACTTGTAAAATCATTGGCGCTAGCTTGTAAAACTACTCGCGCGATTAGCATTTCGAATTTCAATGGACCGAGTTCAGCCTCGATCTTTCTAGCTTTTGCAGGTACCGACTTCAGTACTAAACTTCTTCTGAACACATAATAAATCAAATCACATCTCATTCTAGTCGCATTTGAACAGAGCCCCGTTTTTGCAACAAGTTGATTTTCCCCTCACATTTTAAAGGGAAAGGTTATCTTATACGTACATTTTCAGATATCAGAAAAAGGCTGCAAAATCAGCGATATTTTGGTTCAGAGCAGAGTAAAGGTTTAACTTACTGAAGCCATCAGAACAGCCCCACCCACTATTTCGGAAAGGTCCGCCGCGGGAAAGTACTGTATTTGATAAATATTGGCCCAGTCCTGAAATTGACGACGTGAGCATTTTTGACTGAGGCTCTACAGGGTTTTACCTCATTCTTATTTACATCTATCATCTCCAGTTTGAAACGTTCATCGCACATCACAGGTTATATTGAAATCAGCAGCAAGTAAAACTCGAACATCGAATACATAGGCAATGAAACTGCCTGTTAAGTTATAAAAGGTGTTTCTAGTTTCAAAACTCTCTCTCTCAAGAACATATTAACGACATAAGCTTATAGAAGTCGTTATTAGGCAACAGGCTAAACTTAGCTTTGTTTTTGGAAAGTACAAACATTTTTTTCCCAAAGTATCCAATATTTCGATTTATTAGAAGTAGGGCATATTGACTTGGGAAGTTGTTTACTGAACAATGTCATGTCGGCGGACGTGACCATTTTCACGAAAACAACCAATGCATAACTTGTTCACAAATTCCGTGTGCATCAGTGCAGCACTGGAATCAACCCGTCCCCATCTTAAATCGTACATTTAGTAGTGTTATAACAAATGAAAATGCTAAATCACTAACCCTAAAAAAATTTAAATACTCAACTTAACTTATGTAACTAAATGCTTGTTGATTTCATTACATATGTTCAAAAAATATATTCAAAAAGCTTGGCTCAAAACCGAGTTCCTGAAACGAGTTTGTCTATCGTGCACATTAATACATGTGTAAACAGCTTCTCGTACAACATATATATAACAACAACAGAAAAAAACTGTACAGTTCTCTTTAATTTCATGCTTGTGAACTCATTCCTCAAACGTTGAATTTAGCTGTAGCGCATGAAGTTTGAACGTTCACAACGTTCTGAACTGATGACTCAGTGTATCGTAAACACCAAACCATTTAAGAATGATAATGCTGAATCCTTTTTTACAACCTTTGCAGAAATCGAGAATTAGTTGAAAATGTCTTATAACAACAACTTTGCAATGCGCGGGTGAAACTGCTCTGTATCAAGGCTTCATCGGAGCAATGCTAGGGACTTGAAATGATTTGAATAATGTTGCTATAATCGCTGTATTTGTCGAGGATCAATCTTTTCGTGCAGAGAGTAGAAATAATTGAACTCAGAAACTCACCTCGTAGTATTCGACGTCGGAGAAGCTTGTAGGTATTAAGATAAGGATGAGAAGAGCTGCAACTCCTATCACGCCGATAATGACAACCTGAGCAGAGTTCGCCATGTTTTGAACCAGTACAGCGCAAGAAACCCAGTTTAATTATGCATGCATCAGCCGTCACACTAAGCTTTCAAGAAACAATGCGGAATCCTCATATTGTAATCTCAGTGGTTTAATATGTGCGGCTAAGAAAACTGAGCAAAACAACATGGAATTTCTGCTTGATGGCAATCCAATTTTTCTGCCGTAATTTTGACACTAACTTTGCACTTAAGATAATCAAAGAGAGCAACGGGAATTAAAACCGCGGACATTTCAATCTTTTTTTTAACAGTCATTGTTGTCTGTTTATTTGTAGTCGTCACACCAAAGGAAATTTATGCACATAGTTGAGGGCAGTTACGTGATTTTACTCAGTTCCTAAGAAATTAGGAGTTGATCAGGCCGTGCCAAAGTTGGTGTTCAATTCTTTTTCAGCTAGGACCAGTGTTGAAAATTTTGCACTTGCTGACCGAGTGTAGCCTACATTAAACATGGAACAGAAAACCAAGAATGTGATCATCTGTCTAATAGTCGTTGGAATAATCGTCTTCATCGGAGCAATGCTTGGGACTTCTTTACGCAAGCTCAGCACAGAAGAAGGTAAATTTCTTTATACAGTTTTACAGAATAACGCGTGGAAGATTGTTTCTGCAGAGTCGTTTAAGACGCGGGTTGAAACATGGCATGCAAAATTTAGGAAATTCTTTAGTGAACACCGAAGCCAACACAAAACTAAATCATATCATGCAATAAGCACAACAAAGCTCCTGACGCAAATTGATTAGCGGTCAGTACTTCAGATATTTTGCATGGTAGTTAAGTTACATCCGCGCAGTTTTCTTCAAAGGATAGGTGAACATGCATGGCTGCGATCGCTGCCGGGTTTCGTTGACTGATTCAATTAAAACGAACTTTTCTGCTCGAACATTAGCATCTGTGTACAAAGCCAAAAACTGATTTGAATAATTCTGTAAATAAGAGAAGCACAACACAAAAGTCTTTTAAAAGCAAATTGCGTTTACGTTATATAATATTTTTAGGCCAAAACAGTAAGAAACCTATGTAGCTCTACTATTATCAATTTCGCTGATATGCGATTTGATAATTTCCTATTTTTTTAGAAAAATATAGATCGTTTTCACGTGACGTCATCAAATTCCAAAATCCAAAATTAAACAGCTGCGAAAGCTTTTATCCTCATCGGGCATGATAGGATCTAAATTTATATCTGTTTACAACATTTCAGCTCAATAGCGTGCTTGGTTTGGAAACCAGCGCAGTATGAAGTTCCGAGTTATGGCGGTGCGTGACATACCGTTGCGATCGCGTTTGTGCAAAAAATACACACTTACCTAGTGATTCTTAGCCTTTTTAGGAGTTAAAGTGTTGGGAAAAGTGCTTGTGTGAATGTTTATTGGTTCAGTTCAGATAATCAGTCGCCCAAATAGCCAAAGTGAGTTCCAGATGTTTACACTATTTTCCGGCCGCCATGTTCGTGGAGCAAATAGCTCCTTATCATGGCGGCAACATACTGGGCTCTGTAAATTTGCGCAAAACATTTCGACGAATATCTGAAGTTTGGGAAAGCGCAAAGACCTAAGACTTCGAGAAGTGTCTTCTTTGCCTATTGACTATAACATTACAATTTCTTGACTTTATCCACTGAATACTTTTCGATTTATTTTTTCCTTGCGTGACAGTGAAAACGATCTATAAGCAATACAACTTGGGTCACGCGTTGTCTTGTGACGTTAAGTCAGCCATATTGGTTTTTGAAAAGTACTATCCGGGTGTGTTCTGTCGCACTTTGTAATAATCGTCACTCTTTGTAATACCTATTGCACTTTGTAATAAAATTGTCACACTTTGGAATACCCAACACACTTTGTGATAACACTAGTCGCACCGTTGTAATGAAAAAGCTGTCGCATTTTGTAATAAGAGACTGTCGCACTTTGTAATAAATTAAGCTGTCACAATGATTATGAACTTCGGGGAAATAGAAAGCATATCTTAAGTATATTTCTGTCTGCAATGCTTCAAACAATTAAAAAGTCAAATTTCTTTTATTTTAGTGAATCGACATAACAGTTCATATAATCTCGGAATAGTTTCATATCCTTTTTTTTCTTTTTATGGTTGTACAATCAATTTATGTGCTAACGAAAATTAATTATTACAGTCAAGTGAACTTTCAATCAATGTGTGTGACATTCAAGTAATTTGATGAATTTTACAATATCTTGAATGCGTAGCAAGCAACGAAACATCTCTCAATCTGCAAAATTTTTGGCAAAATATTAAACGTCAACTTGAAAGAGGCAGTATTTGAACATAAGACACTTCGTCCCTTTGACAGCTACAAATCAATGTCACTCATAAGATAAGAAATTGAAAAGGAGATTTGCCACTGGCACTCTACTTTGTTCTTCGGAAAACCTTTTTAATAAGAAATCTGAGGTTGAGATTCCCCCCACCCTCCCCCCACCCAAAAAAATGTATTGCCCGAAGTAAGAAAATCCTTTGTACCCTGCAAATACAATCGCCGTCCATTGATAGTTAAACAGTACTTCGTTCAAGCCATTCTCCCCATGTAAAATTCAACGGGGCGGGTGTATTCCCTGTTTCCGAGTGCCCGCATCGTTTAGGATTGGCCGCAAACTTTCTTAATTAAAACGAATTATTTAAGCAAACTTTATTACAAAGTGCGACAGCTTGATTTATTGCAAAGTTTGGCAGTCTCTTACTACAAAATACGACAGCTTTTTTATTACAAAGTGCGACTAGTGTAATTACAAAGTGTGACGGGTATTACGGGCAAAGTGCGACGATTTTATTACAAAGTGCGACAGAACAGGGTGTCCGTATGAAAAAAGGCTCTCAGAATAAACGTCACGGATAGATATTTGGTCAACATATTGCAGTCATAAAGACTAAAGCATACAATTTAAAAGGAACAGAACAATGTTTAATGTCTTGACTAAAAATTTATGATCAAAGTCAAGAAACCTAAAACTCATTCAGGCTGTCAAATTTCTCGCTCTCAAAGTTAACGCTCTGTTGTCAGTTTCGAACGCGATAATGTAATCGGTAATATAGTCTGCAACTTAAATCAGGAGCTTCAGCTTTAATAAAATTGCATTCAATTTGTAGGAGCGGTTTCGGAGCCACCTTAAATTTTTGATCAACCTATAAAAAGCGTTCATCTTCTAACAGGATACATTTTGCCCTCTTGACTAAAGTGTTGAACAAATGTAACGCAGCTTGTGGGGACCCCACTTCGCGCGCATGCCCAACCTTTGATCTACCACTAGTATGCCAACTAATCACTTGTATAATAACTGATTATTTGTTGTTTTTTTTGTCTACCAGTTGGTGTTGCATACAATATTCATCAGAAGGAGCTATCTTCCGAAGTGAAGAGAGAAGGGCTCCATGCCGGCTCGCCAGGCTACAAATTTATTATATTTCCCAGCGTCTTTCAGAGTATAATTTTCAATGAGTTAGAGTGTCTTAACAGGGAAGGCATTGAGATAAAGTTGAACGTACAGTTTCAGTATCGAGCGCGGCCGAACAATCTCCGAGAGATCATTTTGCAGTTTAAGGACAAGGATAATTACGTCAAACTGCTCAAGTAAGCCACTTGTTTGTTGACTTGATAATGACCGAGTTACTTGTAGCATCGTATAAAAGGAGTTCATAAGTCAAATTGAACAACATCAAACAGTGTAAGATAGCAGAGGCAGATCTAGGGGAGAGGCCCGGTGAGCCCGCCCCCCCTATTTTGGGTACAAACAAAAACAATCGCCGAAGGAAGAAAAGCCGGCAGGGCCGAGCATAACACCCCCCCTCCCCCCCGCCCGCCCCACCTCCCTTAGCTCAAGGTCTGGATCCGCCACTGCATAGCCTAAACATACAGTGGAATCCCGATTTTTTGAACCTCCAACTGAGGGAAACGAAAATTGGTTAGAGAAATCGGGGGTAAAATTACAGTGTTCGACTGAGGAGAAGGAAACGAGTTTTGGTTCGAGTTATCGGGAGGTTCGAAAAAATGAGGGTTCGAGACATCGCGATTCCACTGTAATTAAAATCCATCATGACATTGTCAGTCTGTAGCTAGGAGAAAGCGTTAGACACCCGATGTCTCTTGCATACTTTAATTAACCGCTGTAGACATGGTAGTCCTTCTGCAAACTTTTCAAGAATTAGCCTTCCGACGATGAATCATCAAAGCGTGAGTTACACCGTGAGGTTATTTAACTTCAAATTGATCACAAAATGTTATTAGTGTTTCGTTTGCCTGTAGTCATAGCACGATGGTTTCATTAAAAGAATAATGATCTTGTCCTCACTGCGCCTCCTTACCCTTTATAGGCGCTCCATGCTAATCAACGCAGAATCGAACTCATGGACTCACATTTTTCTGCCAGTATCTTACAGTATCTTTTAACTTCTTAAAACAACCGCCAAAGCCCAGAAATTAATCAAAAACCTTTATGGCGGAAGAATACGCTGTAAGCCAATCACGGACACAGACTAGAACATGCGCATGCCAAATAATCTGATTGGTTGAAAGGAACGGACAATTTCGCGCTGACTGGTTTGGCACGGGTCAGCAAACCAATCAAAAAGCTTGCTTGGGCATCCGGTTTGTCTCATTAATTTGTTTCTATCCTTAGGAGCATTAGCGAGTCCGCCATACATGACGCCTGTAGTTCATTCAATACCACGCAGCTTCAAGCTGAACGCGCTTCCTTTCAAGATCTTGTTCGTAAAACCATTGGACGGAGATTTGACAATGCATGGGCAGATGTTGAAGACCTTCAGGTAAATAACTAGATTTGGCCGGATGAGCGTGGAATACTCAATATTGTGATATAGTTGTCTCTCCTACATTTTAGTACTTCAGGCTCTCATTTATCCCCCATCGTAATGTGTACAGGAGATCGATAACTGTCGATGTATCCCTGAACTTTTTAGCTAGATTTTATAATTTAGATCAAACGGAATTGCGGTGACTTGTAAAAGAAATAACTGTGAAAATTAAACAAACTTAGCCTGTCCAAAGTGTTCAATGTTCGGTTAGTCAGGAAAGCAGTGCGAAAAATGGCAACAGAAAAATTAGTGGAGTGCGATGTTCATCGTTCCGATATCACACTGCTCCTCCGCCCCTTCACCTGGGTCAAGCCCTACACTTCAGCTATTTTCTCGTCCACTGACTAACCGCATGACTGGAACAAGCTAGAACAACTGCACGGTAGCGCATGACTATGAAGTATTATACAACTGAATCAAAAGCACGGATTTGCGGCCCGAGCAGCTTCTGCAACACACGACTCAAATAGTCTTTTTCTTTCCCTGGCTTTTTTTATGAGTCCAAAAGACAGGAAAATGTGGCCAAGGGAGGGAAAATGGAGGGGCACGGGTACACTCTGAACAGGGCGGCGGCTCGCTGTCCATGACAAACCAGTTGAAGAGTTTTGTAATCTGAGAATGAACGTAATTCCTTTACCTCAGGTTCAAAACATCATGCGTCCAGATTCCTATGAAAAGGTTATTCGCACGAAAGAGGCAGCCAAAGAAAATATCAAGGTAGCTGAAAATGAGCGCCCTCGGCTACTAGTAGAAGCAAAGTCTGACAGAGAAGAAGCCATCAAGCAAGCGCAGATAACAATTCAGCGCGCAGAGTCCGAGGCCAGGGTGCTCTTGACCAAAGCCAACGCCGAGGCAAGTAGCATACGAGCAGCGTACGAAGCAGAATCCGCGGCATTCCAGAAGCTCAAGAGTGAGACGCTGAGTAACAGTGTGGCGGGGCTACTGTCTTACCTTGGTGTGAGACTTATCGCTGAGAACAATAACACCGTTAATCTTGCCATAGATGCTCCGGCGAAAACCAAGTATACTTATACTTAAACGGACAGTGTAAGTCCTCGCACTCAACAGAGACAGGATAACTGAAGAAGGAAGTTTGCGTTGATTTGTTACTGTTTGGTATAGATTTGCACAATGCTGCGTTAATTTGCGATGATTTGCAGGCTTCACTTAGATCAAGCACAAGTATGCTCGCAAGTCGAGAAATGCTTTCCCCCTTTTTTCTCACTTTGGATTTTCATGCACGGCTTTCCTAAATGGCTGACACCAAGATAATAAAATGGCCACTCGACAAATGTAAAAAGGAAAATAAAATATTTATTGCGGGATGCCAATCAACGTCTAGAAGACAAAGCATGATCACGTGCTTTGCACGTGACTGCTTCAACGACTGCACGCTAAACCCTTTGCACAGACTATCGTTTTAGACTAAAGACATAGAAGGAAAAAAAGCTCTGAAATCAATAGCAGAATATCTCTTTTGTAATACGCTGAGTGCAGGACGGCTTTACTACGCCAATTCAGTGTAGTGTTTTTACTGGAGTTTATGAAACATCTAAGGCAATGCCCGGCACTGCCTATAAAATGGAGGCAAGGTGATCTTAAGTTATTACGGAGTTCTGAGTTTCGCGTCGTAAGTCTCAACAGTCTGTAAGGAATCAATTGACCTCACTTGGCTATGAGATCTTCATTCGTTAGTACTTATTCGGTAAACGTTGTGAGATAAAGAAACAAAAGAAAAACAGCACCCGAGGGATTTGTCTTGAGTCAAGTAAACAGAAGGAAACGCAGTAAACACAGTTTCTAAACATTTAAAAGAGTAAATTAAATGCCAGTAAGAGCACTGACAAAGAGCGGTTAATGACGGCGAAAGAAAGAGAGGCCTAGGGGCAGGGGCGGATCCAGGATTTTTCTTAGGAGGGGGTGCACCACTAAGAAATGGCCTAACTGACTGGTGAGGTAAACAAATTTTAAAAGCAAATACGAAGAAGGCTTCATCTCAAGAAGGGGGGGGGGTCACACCCCCTGCAACCTCCCCCTAGATCCGCCCTTGAGGGGCACTACAACATCACTAAGAAAAAGTCCGAATGCTTTGCAATGATCTTTTCTTTATTCAGTCGAGATTTCGTTGGTTGTGTGATATTCTTTTTTCCTAACTTTTACGTTAACAGCTTAGAATTGCGAAGAGAGGTGAAATCACCCTTAAAAACTGTGGAAACGGAATTTAATTTTGGACAAATATTTATTGACATAGAGCATGTCTGACTTCAACTCTATGTTGACAAAGTCCATTTCCCCTTAAAATATCAATAATGTCGCTTTTAAAAAACGTTGCCTTAACTTACGAAGTATTTGCCTTAAATTTATCGACCGTTAATAAAAATACCCTAATTTGAAGACTACCATATCCCCCTAACACCCATGTACTCGCACACACACGCGCGCTCGCGCTCGCGCAAGCGAGCAAGCACGTGTGCTATACTCTGCCTAATTTGTGGGTCTATTCAATTCAAAACCCAGCTGTGTAATGACTCCGTACTTTTCAATCAAGGCATTTGCGTTTTTTGTTTTCAATGGAACGATAATGATGATGATGATTATAATTATGTACGATTAGTTTTAAGAGATCAAGTCACATCAAGTTTGAAACGCGAAGTCAAAGTTTCTGTTGTCTCTTCAATTAACCAGCTAGTGAAGGTTTCCTCTTTTCTCTTGATCCAGCTCGATTGCTTCAAAAAGCGACTTGAAGTTTCCGACTCCAAACCCCTGAGCAAAAAAGAGACAGACAAGTGAGGTACTGTCGCAATCAAAATGAATTCCTACAAAGTCTGCATCCCCTGGCTATGAACGTACCGTCAGAGAGAACTGTGAATGATTATGTGGTTCTTAGTAAGAACTAATTCACATTTTTATCTAAGCAAGAGAACAATGCGTAGAAATCAATAACGGTTTACTATGGATTACTATGAAATGCTGTGGGTTCCCTGCGCGTTTACAATTGTATTCCATCCAAAAATATACATTTCCATAAGAGATCAACTCCCTTATTCTCAGGACCTGTGAAGCTATCTTTGCACCTTTAGCAGACAGTGAAAAAATTCAGATAGCTCTTTTGGGATAACAAGGTTATGTTTTCCTGTGCGTATCACGCTTACGAGCGAACACAAAATTCGCTCGCGTCTTCAAGAAGAAGATGGGTGCAAGCCAACAAACATCTGTACTCCAAAATCACTTGCTCAAGGTTACGCTACTGGTCCAATAACAGCTACCAACAAGCAAAGAAAAAAAATCACTTTTTTCGGGTTCATGGTAGCCACCTTAATTAGCTTATGTCTTATAGTTCCAGGGACCACCGCTCCTTACCTGGTGATTGTACCTTTGTATAACTTCCAAGAACAGAGTCGGCCTGTCTTGCATAGGTTTTGTGAAAATCTGTAGTAGGTAACCCTTGTCATCAAAGTCGACTAAAATCTTCAGTTCTTGAAGCTAGTGCAAGGGGAAACAAGAGGAAAATTAGAAACTAACTAAATAATGATACAAAAAATACGTACAATATGCGTGTAAGAATCTGTCCAGCTGATCACGGCAATCAACAATATTCAAGTGGCTTTTACAATGGAACCCGGTTAACTGAATAAGGACACCAAAGAGGCATGCTTACGTGTCTATGAACCATATCACTACCCAAGTGGGTAAGGTGGGGTTTGCTTTCCCACTCGCGATTTAATACCCGCCGTTTCGTAAAATCGCATTAACCTGTTGGAAGAGTTTGTTTCCACACAGTGCGCAAATGGTCAATGTCCTCAAAGCGAGGGTATGAGAAGATACCACTTGCATCACAGAAAGTGTCCGTTCTCCGTATTTACCGATGTCCGTATTAAGCGGGCTTATGTAAGAGAAAATATATGAGCTTTTGGTCATAGACTACGAGTAGTCCTCTTTCGCTTAGCCGTCGAGCGAGACCGTAAATAAACCGCGAGGAAAAAATGGCCGCGTGAAATCCTGGGGACGAGACGCGCGCGTGCTTCTCGGCCCCAGGAGTTCGTGCGGCCATTTTTCTCTCGCGGTTTTCTTTCGCGTCACGCACGACGGACTAATGGAAAGAGGGACTACTCGTAGTCTATTTGGTCAGGACAAACTGAACAGCCGTAATAAGTGGATGTCCCTAGAGCAGGATTTCGCTGTTTTGACCACTGATTCACACTGCTGACGCGGTCCTGGTCGATTTTTTTTTTCACGGCCACCAGATAATCTTTATATTACTCTGTTCAGTTGTGTTATGCCCAGTTCCTTTCCTGTACAGCACATTCCTTCGCATGAAAGCGACAAGCTAAGTTTTAGGTCAAAAACTGTTTTCTCATAGTTGGGAGAGAAAAGGTTGAATGAAACCTGCAATACCATCCAGGAGGGGTAACAACACTCTTAAGTTGCCATGGAGACCGTAATTAATAGCAAATATGGCTACTTTACTATTCAAATTTCAACTCACCACATTCAGATCCTCTTTAATCTTGATGGGTGCATCCTTAAGCCGAGCACGGAGATTGTCATAATATGTGTCAGGAATTACTAGGAACTCCATTCCTCTCTCCTTCAAATTCGTTATCTAAATAAGGGGAAGCAATTACCGTAATAAATCATTTCAGCGCCCTCTTTCTAGTCAACGCCCCTTTTCCAGTAACCGACCCCTATAACAAAGTGCAATTCCAGAAATTATCTATACTCCCCCCACAGGAGGGGTTGGAATTTCCAAGATTTTTTTTNAGACCAAAAAATTTAAAGAAATGTACGAAGCTTACTGGTAACTGGAATATCCAGAGGGGTGGGGAGGTAAGGATATTTTCTGGAACTATACAACCTGGTCCTTTTTCATTAAAGCACCATCAGATTACATCAACATCATCCATCATACTTTATCTACCTTCTGAACAGTTTACAGTGTAAAACACAACTGTTATTTTCACGTGGGGGCACAATTCCTTCAATGTACTCATTAAGCATATTCAACATATGAATAGTTAATAAGATTTGTTTTTAATACAGCATGACCGTTCAGGGATCTACCAGTGAGCATGAAAGGGTCTTACTAATGTTGTACTAAGTAATCTAGTGCTTTATTTGCTGTTGTGTTTGTTGGCGTATATGGTGTAACTGCATCACTTACAGCTGAGATGATGTCAGAAGTATTGAGGGCAATATGTTGAACTCCAGCTGATCCATAATAGTCAACATACTCCTGAAATGTGACAATGAGAGTTTCACTAAGTTCAAAACAAAATTGTTTCCAATTACAAAACAACATTATTATGCACTACAGCCAGGAAAGAAAAACTTACAGTCTCCACCACACATTAAATTCATTGGTTCTTTAATTTATTCCTGGAAAGGGAGTGTCAATGCCAAAAACCAAAACAGCTATACTTCAAGTTTGGGCTCCTTGATCCAGAGTCCAGTGCATAACCATTAACCCCAGTGGCGGATCCAGACCTTGAGCTAAAGGGGGGGGGGNCCTGCCGGCTTTTCTTCCTTCTGTGATTTCTTCTTTTTTACCCAAAATAACGGGGGTACCCTGCTGGGTCAGGTTTCCCACAAGATCAAGTAAATTACTGCCTGCCCAACAAGACCAAGGTAAGGTTAAAAATTCTTAGAATGTCTACCTGTATCTGGCTCTTCCTTTTCCCAGGAGCTGGTTCATTGAGTGGCAGCTTAATTGTTTCCTCCCAGTTTGTAACCACAATTGACCTGAGAGAGCTGTACTCTGTGTGAATCTACATGACAAGAGAGAGAGAGATATTAGCTATAGGGAGGACTTGGTACTCTCTTGTTAGTAGCAGTCATGTGACAAATTTTGGGTTGGTTTAATCACTCTTAGTAACAAGAGAGTAGTAATTAAAAACTTTTTCAGGTTTGAAAAAACTTTGAATTTCAATAATATTGGGTCGTGTTTTGAGGGCTTAGTCTCCACTAGAACATGCAAAACAAAACACAGGTCTGGGATTAGATGTTACATGTGGTGTGTCAAGCCAATGGAATTGGCCCTTGTTGTTCGAAGGCTGGATTGATAACACTATCCATCGGATAAATCGTTATCCCCTGGCTGAGTGTTAACAAAACCAACCATGCTATGCACTGGATAGTGATTTATCCAATGGATAGCATTATCCACCTTTCAAACAACCCTAGCTAGGTAGTTAAAAAATATTATTGAAGATAGGTCTAACAAAGATCATCCCTTATTGGTCTATCAACATCTGTATTTCAGGTTTTTTACCTATGATTATCTTTTGTGTGACCCACGCCGTTTACTCACACCCTACGCTGTCTACTCACAACCTGCACTGTTTACCTGTCGACTGTCACCCCCACTGATTTGGACACTCCTGAGCTCAGGAAAGTAACCCACATACAGTAGCTTAACAAGAAATTGGGATACAATAGTAAGTTTAATCCTTTAGTCCTTGACTGAGGGTTAAGAAGTCATACTTTCATAGTCATACATCCAGTCACAGATGGAATTGTCACAGTGAGACCTTGCAATGTTGTCTAATTTGGATATCAGAGATTCATTCTTGTGCCAATGTAAGTATGCAGTCAGGCAAATGTTACTTGTTGAGGTTTACAATCTTCTTGACTCGGGAGATTCAAGTTCTTTGCTCTATATAAGAGACACAAGTAAGGTACCAAGAATGAAGCATTACAGTACACATGCAAAGTACCTGTTCATCATCCACTGACCAAAACCTGTGAAACTTCAAGTTTTTCTCATACCTTCAAAGAAGATTGAGCAAAGAAGAAATAAGGGATCATGTGTACTGAGGAAATCTGTGGTCGAATGTCAATCGATACTCTTGATCAATACTCTCAATCAACATGTCGATCGTCGTCCCAATCAATACTCAGCCGACACTCTGTCAACACTTGATCAACAGTCGGTCAATAGTCAGCTGAGTGTCAACCGACTCATACGAATTAATTGAAAATTAGTTGACCAAGATGTCGATGGAGTGTCAATCAAGTGTCAACTGAGGTGTTGATGGAGCATCGATCAAGGGTATCAATTGAGGGTATAGATCAACACTCGATCATGGATGCCTTTATTACACGTAAGCAGACCACACTAATCCAAGACAACCTCTTAAACTGAGATAACTGAGACCATTACACTCAACTGCTATTCAGTATAACATAAAAGGTATCAGTAAAAATAGAACTGTAACCAGGATAAGACATATTGGAATAAGAACGTTCTCTGGTTAAAAATATATTAAAAACATAAGCTTTCGGCTATCAGTCTATAGCCTTTAACGAATGAAGAATGTAGCGTGCAAGCGAAAATATATACGAATGGGGTGCGAAAAATTGAGAATAAAAACAAAAACAAGCGTGAAAAAAGCAAGAAGATAAAAATGTAAATGAGGCCTGATTACAATAAAATAGAGTATTGCCTAGGCAACGGTTTTGAGTTGTTATCC